CCAAATATTAATATCCTGGCTAACTCTCAATGAAGTGGATGTTATCTTCACTTAAGAAGAATATGTACATGTAGTATATATACATACAAAACATTGTTCCTTTTTAGTCTTAGATGAAAACAAGCAATACCTCTGTTTGCTACACTTTCAGATAATGGATATACAAGATCTGATTTATTTGGTTAACCATACATGCAGGTAAAGAATGTTTAGCTATGAAATGCCACAAATAGGTGGTAATAAACTAATGCAGTTGCAATTCCAGTTATCTTTAAAGGAAAGGTTTTTCTTAATTCTAGAAAGCCTTTGTTATGGCGTGCAACTACAACTAGAAGAATACAGCTTAGAAATTACTGACATAGAAATGCTTTATCAAGCAATGTTTATGAACATGTTAATTTTAAAAGCATATTTCCATTTATTTTGGATGCCTGCTTCTGAGTAGTACTCATGTGTCTGCCTTAGCTAATCATTTTATTTTTGGAACGAGCTTCATGAATATTCTTTGTATGTTGACTGATGATTATGATAATTTGTTTTATAAAATATTACCCAGAGATTATGTGCAATATTTGGAAATTGGACTTCTTTGCAGTATTACCACATTTTCAAACATATATCTATATTTTTCAGAATATTACCAAGTAAATTTGAGAAATTCCAGGAATAAGCCCTTAAGTTCATAAAATTGTAAATTAAGAACTATAGAACTGAGCATTATATTGTGATCAAATAAGACAAATATATAATGCCTTTTAGCCAAAAAATATTTGAAACATTTATTTGTAATATACTGTAAAAGTTAAATATGTAAACGGTGGTCTCTGCATCTTTTTAATAAAACTGTATGTTATGAAGGCATTAAACGCCTTAGCCATGTTTCACTGCAATGACATGCATTTTACTCTGTAAGACTTTTCCAAGATGACCAATTCAGGAGACACACTTTCAATATGTATTTTTGCTCAAGTACTTGTAGAAGACGGAATAATGCCCCCGCCCAATAATATCAGCACCCTAATTCCTATAAGCTGGGAATGTTACTGAATATAGCTAAAGGAACTTCGCATATGTGATCAAGTTAAGGGTCTGGAGATGGGAAGGTTATCTTGCTTTGGAAGTGGGCCTTCAATATAATCATGAGGGTCCATTTAAGAGGCAGACAAGAGATAAGAAGATTAGAGGAGAAAGGCAGGGATGTCACATCACTATCAGGGTTAGACAAGGTGAGGTGATGTGGGGCCACAAGCCAAGGAATGAGGAGGCATTGCTCTAGAAGCTGGAACTAAACAAAGAAATGTCATTCTCCCCAGATCCTCCATATGGAACCAATCCTGTCCACACCTTGCTCTTAGCGATATAAGATTAATTTTGGAGTTCTGCTTCCAGACCAATAAGACAGTATATCTGCATTGTTTTAAGTCACAAAGTTTGTGGCATTTTGTTTCAGAAGCAAAAAGAAAACAAATACAGACCCTAGTTTCTAAATAGAATCCACCTTATTCACCACTTTGGTTGTATTTGTGCAATGACATACAAAAGACAATAGAAAATGTGAGACTTGAAGTCATTCTAGATAATCACCTTGTGCATTATAGAACTATATCCATGTTCACAATATAAGATCCTACAATAATTTATTTTATGATTTAGGATAAAAAAATATGACTTCTTATCATTTTTGTTGCTCTTCTTAAATTGCCACTTAATGCTAAGAACATTGGCTGGCGATGTTTCTAGGTATGTAGCTATGATATAAAAATGAGAGAATATTTTCATATTTTTTAGTGATGTTAGTTGTGTGTGTGTGCTTTTTTTTTAATCACTTAGTTTTCTTCCCATTTGGGATGTAGATTTCTTTATGAAGAAAATATTCATGTTCTACCATGATATACAATAGTTGCCTTATTCTCCCCAGGCTTCTAAGCCCTAACGATTGCAGTAGGCTTCAAAGTGCTGGGCAGTAGAATAGGTAAAATAAGAAAAGTACTATATTGTCTTGAGGAGGAAAAGAGAATTGTTCTTTTGATTGGCATGGAGCAAAATGCTATTGTTATTCACACGTACATGTATGTGTGTCTTTTCATTGCTACATGCCTTCCAGAGAATTAAAAACACCTAGTTACCTTAAACCATTTTCAGATTTTAAACATGAATGTGTTGTGATGGTGGTTTCTTTTTTTTTTTTTTTTTTTTTTTTTCATCATTAGATATCTTTAAAACTTTTTCTTGTTAGATCATAATGACTTTTTCTTATATGGTTCAAACACTGCTTTATCGTGCTAGATGCTTTGAATTACTTGGGATATTAAATGTCTTTTTTGTTTTTTTTTTCTTTACACATGCTTTTATATAAATGTCATTTGATAGGTGCTAATGTAAATTTATATACCTAATTGTGCTAACAAAAAGACACAAACCGTCTTTGTTTTATTGCACTATTATATCTTATCATTACCATGATTGTCAATGAGTCCTATCTAATAAAAGAGCAATATGCAAATTGACCATACATCTGTTACCTCTACAAGCCACACCCACCAGCCAATCAGGAAATTAACCCAGCCGAGATGGCTGCTGCCACAGAGGGAGCAGGAGGCTTGGGTTTCCCTGGCAATGGAGAAAACCAAGCTTTCTGCCTGCCCTGGATTGCCTTGGCCTCTGCTTAAGGCTACAAAGTTTCAGTAATAGAAGATAAATAAATCCAAGATAACAGGGCCTCTGCTTGAGTCACCAGGGGGTGTGGCTGGCCTGCAAACCACCGTAGGTCCCTCACTCAGGTAGTCCCACGCCTTAAGGGAACACATATCCTGATCCTGGACACCCTTCAGGGCAAACCAGCTGGCCCCCACTTGTGCACCAGGCCTCTATCCTATCTAATAAAAGAGTAATATGCAGATTGACCATCACTCCAACACACAAGATGGATGCCCCCAAAGATCCTGCCCCAATGTGGACACAACATGGCCACTACAAGATGGCCACCAAGGAAGGGAAGTAGGGAGGGACCAGGGCTGCAAGGGAGGGGAGTTGTGGGCAATCAGGCAAGCAGGGGAGGGCAGTTGGGAGGGACCAGGCCAACAAGGGAGAGCAGTTGGGAGCAATCAACCCTGCAAGGGAAGGCAGTTAGGGGTAACCAGGCCTGCAAGGTAAGGCAGTTAGAGGCAAACAAGCTGGCAGGGGAGCAGTTAGGCTTCATTCAGGCTGGCAGCAGAGTGGTTAAGGTGTAATCAGGCTGGCAGGCAGAAGTGGTTAGGGGCAATCTGGAAGGCAGGCAGGCGAGCAGTTGGGAGCCAGCAGTCCTGGATTGTGAGAGGGAAGTCCGACTGCCCATTTAGGATGGGATTGGGCCTAAATGGGCATTTGGACATCCCTGGAGGGGTCTCAGATTGGAGAGGGTGCTGGCTGGGCTGAGGGATACCCCTTCTTTGTGCACAAATTTTGTGCACTGGGCCTCTAGTTAGTTAGTAAAATTATATAGGTTTCAAGTGTTCGACTCTATAATATATCATCTATAGACTGCATTATGTGTTTATACCCAAAGTCAAGTCTCTTTCCATATATTTAACTGCCTTTATCCTTTTTTCTTCCTCCCTATCCCTTCCCTCTGGTAACCAACATACTGTTGTCTGTATCTTTTTTTTTTTTCTTTTTTTAATTTCTTGCTTTCAGTTTTATTTCCCACATACAAGTAAAATAATATGGTTCTTGATTTTTTTGTCTGACTTATTCCAGTTAGCATGATATTCTCAAGGTTCGTCCATGCTGTTGCAAGTGGCAGTGTTTCATCCTTCCTACGACTGAGTAGTATCCCACTGTGTAGTATATGTACCACCTCTTCTTTAGCCAATCATCTATTGAAGGGCATGTTGGTTGTTTCTAGGCCTCTTAGCCACTGTAAATAATGCTGCAATGAATATAGGGGTGCATGTGTCTTTCCAAATAAATGCCATCACATTTTTCAGAAGAAGGGTTTATGGGTCATATGGTGACTTTATTCTTAATTTTTTTGAGGAACCTCCATACTGTTTTCCATAGTGGCTGTAACAGTTTAAATTTTCACCTGTGTGAATAAGGGTTTCTTTTGTCCACTTCATTGGCTATTAGGGAAATGCAAATCAAAACTACAAAGAGATACAACCTCACTCCTGTTAGAATGACTTTTATCCACAATACAAGTAATAACAAGTGTTGGAGAGGTTGTGGAATATTCATTCTTAAAAATGGATTTACCTATCCAGTTATTATATTCATTTTTATAAATAAAAGTTTTAGATATATTTAAATATTAACTTGGTACTTTTTTTAGATTTGGCCAAAAGCTTTTTCAACACCATATTTTCATTGCCTTTAAAATTATTGTCATGATAATCGTTAAACTTACTTTACAGCTAACAGAACTCTGTGGTTATATTTTCTTAATTTGATTTTGTAATGGGAGGGTGTCTTTCCTACTAAATAAGTATCATTATCTGTCTTCACATTGGTGATATACGATGGACCAGTGAATTTTGTTCATGTAGTATTTAGCTTCTAACTCATACTGTGTTTAGGCAAATATTAAATGAGTTAATATGAGAAAACTGATCTAATTGATTTTATCTCTAGTTTTAAAGAATTTCCTTAATAAATCTATTATAAAATCCTAAGTTGATAAAAATCTTCATTTAAATATGTGTAAGAGGAACCAATTTAAAATTAGTATTGATTTTGCCGAAACCGGTTTGGCTCAGTGGTGGAGCGTCGGTCTGCGGACTGAAAAGTCCCTGGTTCGATTCTGGTCAGGGGCATGTACATTGGTTGCCGGCACATCCCCGGTGGGGGGTGTGCAGGAGGCAGCTGGCCGATGTTTCTCTCTCATCGATGTTTCTGGCTCTCTATCTCTCTCCCTTCCTCTCCATAAAAAGTCAATAAAATATATTAAAAATAAAATTAGTATTGATTTTAATAAGGGTTTAACTTTGCCTAGGCACTTATGTCTTCTTTTCTTTTGACTTCAGGTGCAATAACAGAACCCAGTGTGCAGTCGTGGCAGGTCCTGACGTTTTTCCAGACCCCTGTCCGGGAACCTATAAGTACCTTGAAGTGCAGTATGAATGTGTCCCTTACAGTATGTATATTCCTATCATTTTTTATAAAGAGAAAATAAAGTAAGTTTTGTTTTGCATGCATTGACAAAATATTCTTTATGAAAACATAATAAAACAATTACATAAATTATGTGGAAAATATGTAATTTTAATTTTTTAGGACCATAACCCCTTTCCACCATTGGAAGAATTAGATGTTGCTTACATGATCCTGTAGCTTTTAATTTTGACTATACACTTCTGTACATTGGTATCTATTCTAAAACTCTTAATGTAAGAATATGAAACATTTAGATGAAAGTTGAAAAGTGTTATGCCACTACTGTATTCCTTCAGGTCCAAGTAAAAGGTAGTGAAAATAAATAATAATATCATCATGTATATAGTGGTATAGAAATTGATAAATTTGAATTTGATGGAAACAATTATAGCTAAGCTTCCCATATTGTCAGTATTTCAAGAATAAAAATATATTTATCAAGTGGGAGCATACTAAAAAGAAAATACTCGGACTATTTGAACTAAAGCACTCTTCAGAATGTGTCTTTTATAGGCACACGATGTAGGTCTTTGCAACCTTTATGTCAGATATGGTGTATACCAACTTGTTTTTTTTCTTCAAGAATAATGAAGAATCAAACAGTCGAAAATGATACATTTTTTGACTGTTTTACTCAAGGGAATTATCCCTATTTCAAATAAACATATTTTGAGCTACTAGTTCATTATTCATAGCTTCACTAGTGAACCTCTCTCTGGAAATCCTGTATTCTCCTATTAGATATTCAGCTTATCCCAGAGGTATAAAACACCTGAGATCATAAACAAAACCTAAGTTTCAACTTCCTTTGACATCTAAGAAGAAGCCAACTATCTGGGGATCAGCCAGATGCCTGTGCCAAGAGATAGCTGTAGGCCTGCCTCGTTTCTGCTCATTTAAGAAGCAGCATATTGCTCATGAGCCGTAAGTGAGCAATTCCACCAGCAAGAAATAGGCTGAAATTTTAACATAATAATGAAAGCAATCAAGAGAAAGTTTTATTTTTTGCTTATTTATACTGCATTTGATTAGAGAAAGTGTAGTGACGTTTTATAAAGCTAATTTTCTTGTTATAAAAATGCATAAATATGTGGGTTTGATTGAAATCCCAGTTGAGGTTATGCTTCTACATTGTTCTCAGGGATCCTTCTATGGAAATAGGAGGTTCATAATGACCATTTGTTCTTCATTAGTAATCATTTAAAGAAATAATATTTGAAGTCCGTTTTAGAACTGTGGCGATTATATCTGGGTTGCAGGACGTGGTCTTTGTGAAAAACATAGAAGAGCTGTGTCAAAGGCATTTTATAAAAACATACACCTAAGGTATAGATGCACCTCATTTTTAAAAGACAGTCTTTGGCAACTTACAATGATATATGGCATCAAGCTGAAGTAGGAATGTCAAATTATATATCTTTTTTGTAATTTTTAGAAGTTGAAGAATTTTACAGCTGTCTCTTCAATTATCTGTGTTTCTTCTGAATCTCTTTGTAGATAACTACTCCAAAATCCTCTGCCAAGCTTATTCTGAAAAAAGCATCTACTAAAGTTATTTCTATAGAATTAAGAACTTGCTCATACTTGCATAAAAAAATTACTATTTATCACAGATCACTTTTTGCTCTTATAAACTACCAGATATGGACACTTTGATAGCTGAATATTTTATTTTTGTAGGTTTCTGGAAGATTGAATATTTATTGATTGTTTTAGAAGAGTATTCCTATTATATTAAAACACTTATCTGATTTTTTTTTTATTAAGTAAACATTTTTAACTTAGGTGCAACACTTGGTTAGTTTATACACCAGTTTAACTTATATAGTAGAGCATAATTGTGTTTATTTAAATTATCTTCTGTATGTGTTTTAGTGAAAAGTATAATTGGTAATTTCTTTAGTAAATTTAACTTTTTTTTTTATTAATTATCCAAAATAAAGTATAAACTATTCCAAAAACTATAGGGACTCATTTAAAAGGTAGGTTGATTTAGCAGAAAGATTACCAGAAATTAGGAAGCCTAGGTTTAGGATATGGTCTTATTACAGAACAAATTGACTAGGTCCATTAGTGTAGGTAAGCTATTAAAATTTTCTGGATCTCCCCTTATAGACCAAACCTGATCTGTAGTAAATTATGATTTTGATCAACACTATGCTCTTTTTCTTGCCTCTGGCATAAAACAGATAGGTTTTCCAGTGCTGAACTGATTCACTTATTTATAATAGCTACCATTTGAATTTACTACATGTGATTTACAACATGGGTTAAATGTTTACATACATTATTTTATTTTATTCTCATAATACCTCACTGTGTTAGGTAGGAATATCACCATTTTACCAGAGAGGAAACTGAGGCTCCATTGGATAAGTGGCTATATTTTGGAAAATATAGAATAGCTAGAAAATGGCAGAGCCACAATTTGACTTGTCATTAATAACTGTTCTTAAGGACCCAGCTGTAGTTCTCCTCATAGATTTTTTCTTTATATTTTCATGAATTATGAAATCTCATTCAATATTTAATTCATAATTTCCATCAGTAAAATAATGGAGCATGGTGTAAGCAAATGATTTAAAGACCCAGGTCCAGTTCTTACTTTATTTACTTTTAAGAGGTTTGTATGTCTTAAAGCAGATGAATCACTGTAAACTTCAATTTTATACAAATACCTAATGAAGCTTTCTGATTTAAACTAGTTTGTGCCATGAAAATGCTACCCACTGTTTAGAATAAGGCTTTTACCAAAGTAGCAAATTAAGAAGTTGTTTAAATTACCTGAATCATAAGAAAAAATCCTGTACCTAATATATTTATTAAAATACCCCTAGTGTAGCCTTTGCCAGTGTTCCTCAGTTGGTTGAACATAGTCCTGTGTACTGAAAGATTGCTGGTTTGATTCCCGCGCAGGGCATATGCCAAGATTTCAGGCTCAGTACCCTGTAGAGGGCGTGCAGTAGGTAGCTGATTGATGTTTCACTCTCATATCAATGTTTCTCTCTCTGTCTTCCCCTTCCTCTCTCTAAAAACCAATAAAAATATTTTAAAATCCCTATTGTATTATTAGAATAAAAACTTCAGTCTTAAGATTTATGAATATTTGAGCATATTCTATTTAAACAACTGAATAAACAAATAAAGTTAAGTTCTATTTCTTAAACAATTCACTAATTCCAAGTTTCATTTTGAATTGTAGACAAAACTTCATGTATTTAGTGATATATTTAATATTTATGAATATTTTTAATATTGGAATGTGGAAATATATTGATATTTTCTTCCTTTATACATACTCTTTGTGTGCATTTCCATGGTAATACTAATTTTTAAGGGAATAGTTTTTCATGGAAAATAAATAAAACTTTGAAATATAGAAATGCAGGGAAAAAACTAAAATATGTTGGGAAACATATCAATATTAATGATACGGAAGCATATAAGAGGTAAAAATTCAACAACTTCTTTGTATTACCCAATAAAATAAAGTTAACAATGCTAAAGGTAAGCCTGCAATAATTTTTGCACAGATTTTTGTCAGTAAGTAGGTTCATAATTTAACAATGGCAGTTTTAGAAGCTAAGACTGAATCAAACAAACGGAATGACTTTTGTTTTTATTGAAATCATTTTTTATTTTTCAATTACAGTTGACAATACAATATGATATTAGTTCCAGGTATACACCTTAGTGATTTGACTTCATATAACTTACTAAGTTATCAGTATGACTTTTTAAAAAATATATTGATAGAAAAGAAGCTAAGAAAAATTAGTGATGGTAAACAATTTTGTGAGGCGACCTGCTGGGAGTGTTTTGTACTCAAGTTTTTGCCATCACTGTAGTTATTCTCTTCTGTCCTTAGTTTTTCCTCTTGTCTGTACTGTCTTGTTTGTGTTCACAGATACCCTGTTTGTGACCAAATTTGTGACAGACAAATCAATATTTTTCTCTGTTCCTGTCACACCTTAGTTCCAGTGTGACTTTTATAGCCTTTGCGTTTTCTTTGAGGTTTGACTTTTCTCCTTAGCGGTATTTTCTCCCTGGGAGATGACCCAGATATTCCAGAGGTTAAACCTCAGCATTTACCAATGTCACATTTTTGCTCTATCTTCCTTCTCACCCCACCCGCCATGCTTTCTGGGGTGATTTGGGATTGAAATCATGGCATCTTCAAGTAGAGCTTCCTTCATTTAGCCAGTTTACAGGGATGAATTGTGTTAGGGAGAAAATAATAGAACAACTAACCACCTACTTAGGATATTTCTGAGCAAGGCATCTTCACTTTGTATCCTGCTGACAATTTGTCTTTCTTCCAAGGCATACAATTTCACGCACATTAAACTCAAAAAGTGCTTGTCTTTTCTCACAATCTAGTCTTTCTCTTCAGTTCTTTGTTTCTTCCTTTCAGAAATACAAAGCACATATTACTTATTCTAATAACCTTCTGTCATGGTGGATTTTCTGCTGAAATGGAGGGAGGAAGCATACAATTTTGAGCGCATATTAGAAATGAGTGTTTGATTAAACCAATATTATGTTGTAGCACTTAAAGACTTTCTAAAGACATTACATTAACCATCTGAAGACATGTAAAATAAGTATTAGAAAATTAATATTTACAAATAATTATGTAATATTTTAGTTTAGTTTTTAACTATAAGAAAAATACATTACACTTTTAGCATTTAAAACAAACATTTTAACTATTTAATAATAAATAACTACATTTTTGCAAATAATAGTCTACAGAGTGTATATTTTTTAATGTATGTATAATTTGGTCCCTATTCTATAAATAAGTAATTACATATTTTAAAACTCATTGTGCTGAAATGAACCCATATGTTTAATTTTTAAAAGATCACAGAAATGTCAAGATGTATTCTGATTCCCAATATACTGAAATACCTTTTTCAGTTTCTGACATATAGAAAACATTAAAACGCATCTATTGAATGATGGAAAGAAAAAAGA